TTTTTATTATTTTATAAAATATATTAATTATGAAATAAAATATACAAAATAAATTATTATCTGTAAAACACATTTTTATCGTATTTTTAAACATGTATTTTTATTTTTATAATTATTAAAAAAAACTTTAGGTTGAAATTTATATTATTATTATTTATAAATGAGTCATTTATTTAAGTAACTATAGTATCTTAACATTAATTGAATCATATACAATACATATACATTACTTGTGTTAGTTAACTTTTACTATACTAGCACTTATACTAATATTGCATACTATACTAACCAATCTGATTTTTGACTGTATATAAAAACAAAATTATTGACAAAAAACAACAAATTTAAATGTAATGTTATTTAAACACTAAACTACTGTACATCAATGCAGAACAACATTAGCAATAATGATATATATATATATTTTTGCATGACTTGTATGTTAAATAATTTAGTTTTTTTTCTAAATAGTCATTTACACGGTTACATCAAAATAATGTTGTAAATTAGATATTAGTTTCTGTTAACTACCTAAACATTGTTAAGATTATGTGCATTCTATCACTGCATAAATATATACTGAACTTACAATATATGAGAGTAAAACAATTTGTGAAGTTGTATAATAATCACTAATTATTTTACTGTATATGCAATTTTAATCACATGATTCTCACTTAACAAATAAATATCAATTAATTTTATATGGTTTGATTATATACATCAAGTTTTTTTTTATTAAGCCAATTTGTGTAAAGTAATTTAGTTAATTTTGTGAAATATCAAAGTAATAATAGTAATTTAAATTTTTAAGAGACATTCTATTAAATGATAAATTAATTTACACAAATAGTAAACACAATACATTATTTAATATGTAACTCACACAGTGATAATATCAATAAATAGTTATTGAGTTTTTAAAGATAGATTTGATTAAAATATTTTATTTAACAACTAATATACATAAATACCGGTATATAAGTTATTGTTGTCTAATTAAAATTTATTATATTCTTAAAAATATAAGTACTATATTTTTTATTATTGAAAATTGTAGATATTTTTGTTGTTACAGTTTTTAATATTCAATTAATTTTCTTGAATGTATTTTCAAATTTTACTTTTAAAAAAATTGTGATAACAATTTAGTTAATTTTACACAACAAAATTTAGAACAATAAAACTAATAATTAATAATTAATGGATCGATCAAAACAATGCCTAAAACTAAAGTCGACAATTTATTGTATTTATTATATATATATATATATATATATATATGTATTAATTTTAATATTGTATATTTATAATATTGTTTATTATAAAGATATACCTGTATTATACCTTAATAAATTTTATATTATAACAATTGTCACATAATATAAATAGTTATCTTAAAGCAATGTTTCAAATAATTCTCTCTCTCTCTCTCTCTCTCTCTCTCTCTCTCTCTCTCTCTTTCTTTCTTTCTCTCATTCACTCTCAATGTCTGTGAAGTGTTTTTTATGGTGACGTCAGTGACAGGAAGAAAAGCTGGTCGTCTTTTAGCGTCATCAGTGGTGTTGTGTATTAATATGATGAGCGCATTGCTCTTTTGATCGATTTTTTGGTCGACTCTTTTCCTAGAGATCACTGTCATTCTTAGGCATTGACTCTCTCCCTCTCTCTCTCTCTCTCTCTCTCTCTCTCTCTCTCTCTCTCTCTCTCTCTCTCTCTCTCTCTCTTTCTCTACCAAAAAGCAATACTTCCCCACAAAACCATTGCTCTCTATAGCCTTAAATATACTGTTATATAGCTCTTATGTAATGCTATATAAAAATAAGTGCATTCAGTGCTTACAGACGGCACACACTGTCTATAGTCATCCCTTTCAAATGATTGTATTTTTTAAACTATAGTTATCTATCTATGTGTGTGTTTGTGTGTGCTCTAAGAAATGATCACTTGCTTTCAATTTACTATATAACTGATTTGATGCTCTGTCTCCTCCTGTATGAACATATGAAAGCACATATATTAAAGACACACATAAGAGAAGAATCACAAAAATATGAGTCTATTGTATATAATGTGTGTTATGTTTAATGGTTGGGTATGGGATAGAAAAATCTTATGGTTTTGCTATGAAATAGCCGTAAGAAACATAAAAGACGACAAATACATGAAATTAAAGAGAGAGAAAAAAAAGTGAAGACATTAGTAATGCACGAGTTGTGAGCAAAAAAAAAAAAAGCTTTTTAAATATATTACAAAAACATATTCAAGAGTTTGAGTTATAGAATTGAGAGCTCAGACCTGACGTACACCGATATGTTTGGTTGTATGTCTATCTATATGTCTATATATATATATATATGTGCTCTGATTGTGTCGATTATGTTGGTTGTGGTGTTCCGACAAACGATGTGATGTAACGCCAAATGCAAAGTTTGCTTAAACCAACAATTCTAAGACCATATCGTTAAACAAAAAAAAAATAGTAGTCTTTATTTTGAAGGGAACGGCAATACTGAAAGAGAAAAAATATAAAGGAATTTACTATTTGCCAGAATTATTAAGAGTATGAGAGTAGAGCTCAGTTATAATACGGTAGTATAGAGAGCACAGAGAGGCCATAAAGAAATGGTGTGCAGAATATTGAGGAATGAATGCGGAGATTGTGTTGTATTAGACAAAAGCCAAGCTATCGATCGATTGGCACTTTTATGTGAAGGTTTGTGCCTTCAATACACACATACATTGAAAAAGACATTAACTCTGCATATAATATAAGGCATATATAATCGCTATTCTCAATGTTCACAATACCATCGATGCACTTATAAAGCATTCACACAACAGTACTGTTAGTCAACATTACTTCCAGCACTGTCCTTACCATCCAATTCCTCATTAGACGGCTTAAGGCCTAAATTACAAGATTCAGAGAGAGAGAGAGAGAGAGAGAGAGAGAGAGAGAGAGAGAGAGAGAGAGAGAGAGAGAGAAAGAGAGAGAGAGAGAGAGAGAGAGACCTGATACATGAAGAGAGCATACAATTAATAATAATTGTTTTATTACTTTAAAAAAGTGGTTAACATATTAAAACACTGAATATATTAAATACTGTATTGTTTTATTATATTATTTATTAAAACATAATATAATAGATATTAAAACATTTCTATAATGTATATTCAATATTGCAAAAGAATTTGAAAGAATTATATTCTCTATTATACAATAGATAAGTCATTCTCAAAGCATTTTATCTTTAATCTGAGCTCATGTATCATTGAATCATTGAATCATTGAATCATTGAACTACCATTAATTAATATGGTTGACGATTGCACTGACTAATCAAAAGCATACAAAAAAAGCAATTCAAACACACAGACACACAATTATCTCCCATTTCTACTCTCTAAATATAACTAACTAATTATATTATATTTATGTGCATTTATATACCACTTAAAACCTTTTTGATTAAAGTTATTAGACATTCGGCATATTCTAACTAAAATAAGATTTATTTGAATTGTTTTAATTTCTATTTATTAAGCAAATCTCAATTACATATAAAATATTTTTAAAACCAAAACTTATAAAATTATTTATTAATTATATAATTATAGTACAATCAAAATTAAAGCTATATAAATAAATCCAAATTTAATGAGCTTTTTGTATTGCAGTGCATATTTGTTGTATACCAACTGATTAATATATTATTAATATATATTATTTATAAGTACTGTATTTAATTAGTATTATTAAATGTTACAAACACAACATACATACGCACACATACACACAATACATACAAACATACATACATACACATACATACACACTGTACATATATACAATTAATGATATTAAAAGCAATTTATGCACATAAAATGATGGTAGTCACATTTTTAAAAAATAAAACTAACAAATTTTATTTAAATTTATGCATTATAGTTGTAATTTACTTAAATACCACTATTTTTGTTAATATATACAGTATAATATATATTTAGTTTTTTTAAAATGCATTTTTACTTACATTTGTTTTAAAACATATTATTATTTTTTGTTTAAACAAATGTGAAACAATTTATTTTAATTTTTTCATTATGTATGAAATATTAGTTTATGTAAATGAGAATCCAATCAAACGTGTCATATCATAACATTATCCAATATTCATCATATATTTTATTTTATTATTTATATATATATATTTATTTTTTGTATATTTTTATTTTGTATACAACTTTTTCTACACTTATAGTAAATTCTCATTTTTTTGTTAAAATAATTATAATTAACAGTAACAATATTATTTTATTATAAATAAATGTAAAACAAAAATTAATAAAAAATTAACAATAAGAATGATAATAGAATAACAATAAAAATGCTATATTATAATAATTTAAAATAATAATAATAATTATTATAATAATATAATATAATATTAAGTATTAGTTAAAATACCAGTAATTGTAATAATTTTAAAAATTATAAATATTATCTATAATAATAATAATCATTAATATTTTTATAAAACGGCTTTTATGCATGAATTTGCATTAATATGCACTTAACAGTTTGTCATTGTTAACATGTATAGTGTATTAACATTTTGTTATAAACTAAAAAACAAATTATATATAATATATTTATAATATAATATAAACATATTTATAATCAATTAACGCATTAAGTATGTGTTTGTTTTGTAATGGATTAGAGAAAGAGATGATAGGGTTATGGCATTTGGGCTATAATTTTGTTTGTTTTCAATAATTAATTAATTTAATTCTATATATATTTATATATATATATATCCAATACAACTCTTAAATATATATTTTTAATATATTTATCCAATTTTTCCTTTTTCCAAATATATCTACAATTATATATATATATATATATTATTTATCATCAATTATTTTTTTAATAATAAAATGTCAATTAATAATTAATTAAACAGTCAATCATTCAATTAATAATATTTAATAATAGTAATCAATAATAGTAATAATCAATAATAAATATAAATAAAAATTATCCTAAAACCTAAAGCCAGTGTCATTTACCCCAATAGCCATTGGGAGGAATGTTCTTCGGGTGCCGACTCATGGTTTGCTGACCCGACGGTGTAGATGGGGGGTAGTGGTGACCACTGCCGTGATGCCCGGTGGCGTGACAGGACGTGGCATGACACGAGTGCCACGACGTGGAAGGGGGTGCGCCGACACTGGCCACACTACCCATTTCAGCATCACTACCATTACCACCCGCTTCCTCTTGCATTTTCATTTGATTTGCGTAGAATTCCCAGAGTCGGGACACAATAAGTGTGGCCATAATGGAGCCGTGATTGTGCTCAATGAGCCGCAATACGAACACTCCGTCCCAACCCAAATAGTTTGCCGATATTTTGCGTGCGAGTCGACCAACTTCGGCCATACCTACGAGTCTAGTCCTCCAAAGGCAAAGGCGTACATAAGCGAGTCGATTGCATCGGAAGGTACGCCACACCCAAAAGATAAGACTAATTATGTTTAAAGGCATCAAAAATGCCAAATAAAACCAAACGACCGAAAAGATCTTCTCGTTGAACACATTGATAGGTAGTACACACTGACACGTGTAGGTGCGCAATCCACCCTGGATTGCAGCACGCACTTGGCACAGGGTCTGCAACGGGAACCGGGGGCTCGCCCACCAGTCACCATCAATGGCGAACCGGCGCAATAGTTCGAGTCCGTGTCGCAGAAACCCCCGTCCCATGAATGAGCCCAACAAAATGAACTGGAGTCCGACATTCAGCACATATAGGGTTTTGACCAGTAGGTATAGTAGGCACAGGTAGCGGCTCGGCCCGCCCACACAGCATCGGCACGAGAGTGGCAGTCGACACGACGGGTCTGTACACCAACCGGCTTCACCTGTCACTAGTGTGTGAAATTGGTCCACAAACTCGGCCAATAGGGCCTCCCGTTGTTGACACCCCGGCGGTAGACTTGCTATATCTGACGCTTTCTTCAGTAAACGCCTCAGTTTGACACCTGCATTGTGAGCACAGGAGTTCCACACGAGGAACGGCACGTAAAAGCAACAGCCCTGAACTAACAGTATCAATGGTGCCCATTGATAGTAACCCACACGTACTCGACGTAACCGTTCGGGACCAGTAGAGGCCACATCAAAACCACCGTAGTCTAGCTCTTCAGGAAGTACACGTGGATCGGGAGGATCCTAGAGATCATATCAAACATTATTTATAATAGTTTATCAAAATTTATATAAATCTAAAAATTATTAATTGCTTAATATCAAATAAAATTTAATATTATTATTATTATTAGAACTACTGTACTATTTTTTAATATTGTGTTTTTTGGTATTTTATTTTTGACTTTATATAAATGATAATTATAATAATAATGTCCATAATTGCGAATATATGGCTATAATTGATATCATTTTTGATATCATGATTGCATCTATTGTTGTCATTATAAACAGCCAGAATTTAGTGGCATTAAGACAATGTCTTTAATGTCTTATTATTATATATTAAATTATTGAATGCTTAATATGATATTATAAAAATAAGAGTTAAACTTGAAATTAATTTTATAAACAATAGGATTGTCTTTCTTATACAAACAATATATGCTGTCTTTTGAAAAAGTAATGCTTAAAGTAGAGACACATTTACTGTGAATATCTCTTTTAGTTTGAGTATAACTAAGCCCTGGCTTTGGGTATTGCACTCAAAATATAAGATATGTCTTAATAAACGAGAATTTATTTAATATGAGAGACGCAAACACTTCATTGTCTACAACTATTGTCAGTCAATTGGGGACAGTTGTCTCACAGGACATTATAAATACCAGTTTAGTGTCAGTATATAAATTGAGTCGACAATCAAATTAAAAAACTAATAAATAATAACAAATGTGTTAAAATAGATGAGTATAATTAAAATTAACTAAAAGTTAATCATTTTTATGCAGTATTTTGTAAACAAAACTTTAAAAAATTAATAATTTTATTAACTATCAAAAGAATAGAATCAATTTAAACACATTTTAATTAAATTAATTATAAATTTATGATATATATAATATATATAATAAATTTAGAAACATAATTAATTATTTAACTAATTTAATTAAAATGCATTTAATATTTAAAAATTTAATGAACATAACATTCAATAAAATTAAACATTAATGTTAGTAAAAAAATCAATTTGTAGATTTATTTGTTAGAACTTTAATTTGATTTAACAAAATTGCTTTTATGATATTCTCACTTAAATAATTTAAATAAATATATTTTCTAATTGATCAACTCATATACCATAGCATCTAAAAACTTCACATAAATTTAACCATTTTATTGGTATTGACGGTTAGATTTTGTTCATCTAAAGAGTTATTTGTTGAAAGAGAGAGAGTGAGTGAGAGAGAGAGAGAGAGAGAGAGAGAGAGAGAGGAGTTGCAGGACTCAGCTATTTATTTATTATTTATTTCAGTGATATATACCGTTATAAAGTAGATGAGAAAATTGAAGCAAAAACAGCCATTAAAAGAGATAAGGGCTATATATATACATACACTGGTCTATTGTGTTTCTCATAATTTATTTAATATATTGTAAGTCTAATTTCACATACAATGACAGCGAACTGGAGTTTAGGCTTTTTATGCAACAAACACAATGTTAATGTTTAAGTCTCCGATTGCTTTATTTTTTGCAGACAAACCAACCGTAAGAGCTGATCCAGTGTTGTATATAAATATATATATATATATATATTGCAATTAATTGTATATCTCAGGTGCACACAAATGATACTCTCATTTGAATGGATAAATAAATGAATGAATGGTCAGATTATATATAGAGTACTGTATATATAAAATAAAAAGCTTTGTAATAATAATAATAATAATACTAAAATAAGGTAATGTAATATTGCTTTTGGCTCTAAACAATAAACGAGTGTTTTATTTGAATCAAACAACTTTTCTTTGTACTGTTTTTACAGTATTTTTTTGGTGGTCTCCTCAATATAACTACCGTTTCTCTTTGTATTGGTTCTCAAATATGAATGGTTTCAATGCCTATCCAAATGACAAGACAAACCAACAGCTCATGAGGTTATAGACATATACTTTAGCATATATTTACAAAACATATGACTATATCATATTTTTCATACTTTTAATGTTATTTTAGTGTTTATATATAAAGATTGAAAGTCTCTACTCTTGTGTTGTGTGAAAGTCTTTGTGTTTGCCATTTAAGATGAGTTAAGATTTGTTCAAACAATTCGCTTATCATTTGGTCTGTTATTGATATTACTAAAGCTCCGGAAATTCAAGTACTGCCTAAAAAAGAGGTCTCTCTCTCTCTCTCTCTCTCTCTCTCTCTCTCTCTTCAAAGTAGTGGAAGTACTAAAATCTATTAAAATAAGTACTAAAAAGACTGGAAGGAGTGTGCAATAAGAAGAAAATATATATATATATATACAGTATATTAATACTAAAATATTAATATGAAATTCAATAATATATTAAAGTGCAATACATTATATATGTATATATATGATGACTGCAAGAAAAACCCAAATTATGAATGCTTTACATAAATTGTATAGTTTTTTTTTGCTAAATATATATATATATATGAGAGAGAGAGAGAGAGAGAGAGAGAGAGAGAGAGAGAGAATGAGAGGAAAAACTATTGAAAGACACGGTAAAGGAGATGATGTGAACACTAATGTGAATAAATAAATGACTCCATAGATAGATATATATACTATGATAATATATAGTGTATATTCATTTAGGGTTTGTTGGGTTGGGTGGGGATCCATATGAGATGATATGTTGGATGACGAAAAACAGAGAGAAAACCATACAATGAGAGTGTAATAATAATATAGTCGAGTAATAATTGATGAATTTTGTGGTGTATATACAGTATAATGTATATAAATTGTGTGTTTATTGTATAGTATATAAAAATATATATTATTAATGACATACCTGTCCAGTAAGTTCATAATCCTCGTCATCGGCATCGGCAGCCACGAGATAATAAGTAGAAGCTGTCCAACAATATGAGTTGACGTAACGGGCCTGAGGTTCAGTAAAATAGGTCGGCGTAAAGCATTCAATAGGATCTCCAATATATTGTTTGGTGAATATGGGCAGAGCCAGGAATAGGAAGACTAGTAGTGTATATTTGCGGTTAAGTTTGTCCACCCCGTCGTCCACCGGAACATGAATTCCGCCGATAAGATCGTGAAACCTATTTGAATGGAAAGCAGAGAACGGGCCGAACAGGTATGTGTTGTTTTCAAGAGACACAGAGAGAGGACAGTAGTAGAGACGACCATCGAGGACACCAATTCAGAGACAACGACACGTTCACAGACAACAGTTCACAAAACAAATAAAAACAAATAACAAACATTTAAAGCTCAACACAACTGAGCTATACATATGAAAAAATTTCATAACAGTTGTATCATAACATTAGACATTAACGTTTAAAATTTAAAAAATATGAGACAAAATAAAATAAAATTAACAGACATTTAGGTTATAAACAAAAAACAAAACACACTGTAATTTGCATTTGCTTTGCCATTGCCTTCAATTTTTTTTGTGTATATCTTAATAATGTAAAGCTTATATCAAATGCACTTTTATTTATACATGACTTAAAGCTATTATTACAAATAAATATCTCGTGTTTTATTTTGCAACGATATTCATATAGCAAATCATAATACTGTATATTAATAATAAACTATAAGAATATCAGTCACTAAAATATAAATGAGTAGCAAAGCATTTGGTGGTTAAGTGTGGGGAAAGGTATGCAAGGAATTGAAACGAGACATACATATAGTACACACACTCACACAAACACACTGCCAAACATATAGAACTCATACACTTGAAAAACAGTTAACTAATTGAAATTAAAATAATTAATGAAAATAAAGCTAAAAAAAATATTGAAAATGTTTTTTATTTTAAATATCTTATGTAAATACAGACAGACGCACACACAAAAACACACACTCACTCACACACACACACACACACACATAGATAAGGTGGACAGGTAGTAAAAATGTGGGGTGAAGTGCAAAAATGTTGATACATACTGCACTAACCGGAAGAGAAAGGACATGGTTGATGGCTCGTGACGCCCTGCACTGGCTGAGAGTCCCTTTGGCAGCTCCAGGACCGCAGTGTCAAACACTCAACCAAACCAAACAATGATATATTTAGCCCACAGTCCCGACCATATAACTGTTCGCGACTATCGGCACCTGATAATAGTTCACACAATGTTAATGATGGCAATGATGATGAATGTTTTCTATAGTTATGCTGTTTGGCGGTAATTGTTTTTATGGCAGTGACGGACACCGGTGACAATATTGGTAGCACTTGTAGTATTGATGATACCGGTAGCTGTTTTGGCAGTGAACTCAACTGGCAGTGAATGTATTGTTTATATTGTTTATTTGGGACTTTATTTCTCGATATTTTATTGTAAGAATTGTTATTATTTGTATAAAAATTATGATTAGTTTGATTTACACAAACACACGACCTCTGATTGACTGATTTTTTCTTATTAAGACTATTATTGCCAAACAGTTTGCACTTCTTATTAACACTACTTCCTCGATGTCTTTTCCTATCTCTAAATGAATGCAATGATAATGAGTTCACAGTTATGTTATCTGAGAGATGATGGAAATGGTGTGCAAATGCATTCATGGCCTCTCAATCTTAAGCATCTATGCATCGGTGATATTACAGATTTGTTGCTTATTGTTCACTGAACACCACTGATTCCTCTCGATATATACAATATATATATATACCAAACACCAGCTGTCCTTCAATAAGACAGTCAAATAGTCACCAAAAGGGCAGACAATCTTCGTCTTCACTTATTATTAAGTTTTATCTCATCTGTTGGCAGTCGACAGCCGTTTTAGATGACAATTGGAGTTTCAATACTGAAATTAATAACATATTATATATCAATAAATATATCAATAATATTTGGTCATTAAATATGATAGGCGCTTATAAGTATAATATCATTAATAATAAATAAAATATTATATATAAATTATATATATATATATATCTAATGATTTATTTTAGTAATTATTTCCAAATCACTCTTTTATTAAATCATTACACAAATTATCATATATAATATGTCTCCTCTTTTATGTGAAATATTTATTATTGTTATTACACGGGTATTGATTTTTATGGGTATATATATATACTGTACAGTTATATGGAGTTAATTGAGAGACAAAGTTTGTCAGATTAGTGACAATTGAAGTGATGGTAATATACAACTAGTATAGGCATACAATTAGCAATACTAAAACCTTATAGCAATAGTGATAATAATAATAATTATTATTATTGTTTTGTTACCAATAATAGTTTGCCTTAATTTGTATGAAACAAATATTGCAATGAAAACCAATTGAACTGCGGATCTCTATCTCTATCTCTCTTTCTCTCATTGAATGATACAACTCTTTGGCCGAATTAATGTCAAACCATTACATTTAGGTCTTTAAAATTAAATGTATGTCCACTAACATCAGTGCCAGTAAACGCTAAGTCTTTTTAACAACAATATCAAGCCATTAGTTTTGCTATTGAATTATATTGACCTCTATTTTGTCCCACAAATACAAATTAAAATCTACGTGTATTAAAGGGAAAATAGTATTACCACTTTTTATGAGAGCATTAAATTATAAATTGTATTATTTTACATTATAATATGAGTTGTAAATTACAATTTATAATACATATGAGAGTATAGTATTGTTATTTTTTAAGCTTTACTTAGAAAACATAAAATTGAGTTAAAAATTAAGTAAATCTACATTATACCAATATAAGTATTATATATATATATATATATATATAAATAACTTTAAGAAAAATGAATATAAAAAAATAAAGATGAATAAATCACAGCAACGATTATAAATGTAATCAATAAAACCGAGAGATTTTGTCATTTTATTAAATATCTGATTAATAAAAGTCATAATTTTCATTAAAAATTATTTGTATCCCATGTGATACAGTAATTAATATATATCTATTAGAAATGTATTTTAATAAATATACTGTATAGTTAATACTCAATTCAAAAAATAATACATTATATAACAATACAATAGATTATTGAGTTTATTCAGCAAAAATACATTATATGCTCTAATTTTTATTAATAATCTTTGCAATAAAAAATATTTATATTCATGAACTATGAACTAATATATAAACTATTTTATTAAATATTGTGTTATATTATATAATAATAAAAGCATTGTTTTCATTTTTTATAGTAACTTATTATATAATTTTGTTTTTATATTCAAAATTTTAATTATTGCTAAAATTTATCTAATATTATAGTAGAATTTTTATTGAATTGTCTATTAACTATATTATAGAGACAATAGTAATTTATTAATAAAAAAAGTAGAAACTATTTGTGCTTATATTTGTGTTTATATTATATTTATATATCTATAGAACATTTATAAACTTTTTTTTGTTAAATTTGTTTATCTAATTAATCTAGACTTAGGTTTAAATTTATTAAACAAAAAAATCGTTTGCAAATTAATTTATATTTAATATTTATGTGTTTTTTGCGACCAATTAATTAAAGTAATAAAATAACAACAAAAAAGAAATAAAATATTGATTTTAATCGCAGTTGAGTTAGTTGTTTGCAAACTTAATCATAATATATAAGAGTCAAGTCTTGATAAATTCCTATCAAAAGCTTATGTTATTTTGCACTCAGTCTCTGTTGGATATATAATATATAAATTTTATATATACAAACATATATATATATATATATATAACTAAAAACTATATAAAGCATTTTGAATGCTAAAAATAGATCCAAATATTTAACATTAAAAAAAGAAAGTGAGTTTATATTATATGTGCGCTCGATGTACAATACCATTAAGACTAATACTAGCATCATTGGCACACATACATACACACACACACACACACACACACACACACACACACACACACACACACACACACACACACACACACACACACACACACACACACACACACATACATACATACATACATACATACATACATATTATTTGAGTGATTTTTAAAAATTCATTTTTACTTTAAGCCAAAGGCATTGGATGTGCAAGAGTTGAGACTTTACTCACTTACTCTCTCTCTCTCTCTCTCTCTCTCTCTCTCTCTCTCTTTACAGATAAGGGATACAACAATATTGTAGTGAAAAACAAGATTTGATTCAAAAACAAGATTCAAAAATTGAGATTTTCTCTAAAAAAATAAATTCCTATTTTTTCACAAAGACTATGTATTAGATTAGAGTCAAATAAAATGAAACACTGAGAGAGAGAGAGAGAGAGAGAGAGAGAGAGAGAGAGAGAGAGAGAGAGAGAGAGAGAGAGAGAGATGACATGTTATGACCACTGCCAATGTCTTTACAATGTATTTGTTATATAGATATAGTAGTATTTGGCAAAACATTATTTTTTAAAACACATATTTTTGATATTTTTATTGATCTCTCTCTATTTGGTGACTTTTTTGTAAGACATACACATAGATATAGTGACGGCTATTCTCACGCAAATGCTTTCATACAATCTATATATCACAACAACAACACATTGAGAGATAGTAGTACTGATGGGTCGCTAAAAATATATATATATCTAATGCTTACTATTTATTTGAGATCCATATAATAAGTGATTGTTAAAAAAAACAGAGAGAGAGAGAGAGAGAGAGAGAGAGAGAGAGAGAGAGAGAGACTGTTCACTCTCTCAGTAAGTGAGACTAAGAGCTTGAATAAGTGAAGAATGGATGTGAAGTTTGAAAAGCATTACAACACAATTGTATAGTTTTTGTTAGACTTCACAACCAAACTAATAGTCTCAATGTTTTGTTGTCGTTGTTCTCATACCATTCCTTCATATATATAATATTATATATGATATCATTGTATGTGATTCTTAGGACAAGGGGTTAGTGACCCAAATATTCTGTGAAATTCACATCTCTATTATATAATCATATTGTATACTACTTTGAGATAAGCGGCGGCATTGCATGAATAGACTCGTTGCACATAATTTACAAATAAAAATCCAAATCTTTATAGATTTTGTTTTGCTATTCACACAATTTTTCAAACTACTCTTTATTATTATTATTAGTATTGTTATTATTATATTATTGTTATACAAAAAAAATCTTTATTATATAATGGCATTAATATTTTGTAATAAATAAATCTAAAAGACAGTGATATGTTTTTTATATATATTGCGTTAGACTAATCATTAAGACTAATACTATAATAAGGCAATTGTTACAGTATTTTGATAATGCAAAACACATACATACATATTAATTAGATAAAAAAAATATTATTATCGATTTAATCTATACTTTATAATATATGGAACTATTATTTTGTTTTTTATTGAAAACCAATGTAATAAATATCTTGTTAACTATTAATAAAAATAGATTAGTTGTAAATAATTTAATTACTAAAAACTAATAAAAATTTTAATTTTCTACTATAAAAACTGAAAATTATTTATTTACTTTAAATTTCAATTGTTTTTTTTACTATTTTATTTTGATGTTAAATATTATTATCTTATATTAACCAGAATATCACACTTAAGCAATCAATTATAGAAATGGATATAGACTTTAATATTTAATAAACTAGTTGTGTGTTTCAATTTAATTCAATTCAACTAACATGACTGAAAACTTAGAGCACTTTATAAGATAAAGTTTTCTATTATTTAATGTTTAAATTATTAAAATTTAATTTCTGCACACTATTTATTTACTTTTTATAATGAATATATATATTTATAACCAACAAAATAAAATGCTTTAAATAAATAATTAAAAATATTCAATGTGGATTATATTTTTAGCACTTTAATAAACTATAATATTAAAAAATATCACACATTTTTATATCGCATATGAATTTTGCTTTGATTGCAGTTTTTATTATTGCAATCATTGCGATAATAAACAACAAAAATTCATAAAATAGCATATATTTAAATCTTAAAACTTTAAAATGTTATTAGATTTATAT